TGATTCCGATCTCACTCAAACATGTTTTCCAGCTTAGTCCGGATCAACCTTTCGAGTTTTTCGGTTTTGCTTTTGTTTTTTTCTCCCCTCTACAGATCTGTTTTGTTCCTTTCCGTGAAGGAATTGAACCTTGCGATTGTATCAGATCTGTATTTGTTTCAGCTTTTGCTCTAATCTAAATTCTTGTTTAGGAGTAATGTCTTTGATGAGTTCCTCCGTTATTATTAACGGGCCATCGATATATATGGTAGTGAAAGAGAGTGTCCGAAGATGAGAGCAGACTGGAGATGGGTTATGTGGTGAAAGAAATGTGTAGATCTGATCTTCAATAGCAATGCTTCTGTGTTAGGGATTTGTGGATTACGAAGAGATCGGGTTTCGAAGGCTTTGTGATCAAATTCAGTTCTTTGAAGATTTAGCCGGAACACGACTTAATCGGAGTTTGCGGCGGCGGACCGGTGGTTCGCAGCGGTGCTCCTCCCCATCAACATAGCACAATACACGTGGCTATCCTTGACTTCCTCTAGAAACATCTTTCCATAGGATAGAATTGGGCTTGATATGATATTGTAAATATACCCGGGTTGTTATTGCTCTTAATGGACTTAATGAAATATTGTCGAAAAAAAAAAGACATGATTTTATTAAAATATTAAAAGTTGGACCAAAATGTATTAAAGTACAATTTTGAACTTTAAAAATCTTAGTTTTTTATAAATATTATATTAATTTAGTAACTAAAACAATATTAATTTAGTATTTTGTATTAATATTAAGTAATATCAATATATGAAATATATCAAAATATATTTTTTTTAACTTTGAAAATCTCAATTTTGAAAAAAATTTCCATTTAATATTTTGTATTAAATTTAAGAAATGTCAATTAAAAAAAATATTAATATATAATTTAAATATATAGATAATTTTATTATAATATTTGATTGAACTTTATTTGATTGAGTTTTCCATGGATTGTGTGGTCTTTTGGAAGTACATGAATAACTTTTGCTTTGAAGGAAATATTTTCCTGGCAACAGACACAACAATGAAGATTAAGGAAGAAGTTGTTCAATGGTTCTATGCTTAAGCTCTAGAAATGTACATGAATATCTCATGGTATAAAAATAACTTTTTAGATGGTTTCTCATTTGAGAGACGAGATCGGACTTATACTAATTCAAATAAAAGAGTTTTTTTTGGTATAAGAACTTTAGACGAAGCAAACTTAAAAAGATTTTTGTAAGCTACCGAGAGTATGAGATTTATAGGTTCAATTGTATCATCTTTGCATTTGCAGCTTTGCAAATGGTAAATGCGATCAACATGCCTCCTATATGGCCTTCATTCCATTACCATGTTCTGAATTGCTTTTAATTTTGGTTAAAATTGATGACTAGAGTTTGGAGAAGAAAACAAAATTACAAACAAAGAAGCTTTTTTATTGATGAAAAGGTAACAGAAGAAAATCGATACAATTTTTTTTGTGCTAGGATTTTATGGCATTATGATAGATTTCAGATGCTTGGGTAAATTTGACTCTCTAATTTTATATATATAGGATTTTAACAACAGAATCTGACTGAATTTTGCTTAATTGCAGAATTAAGTTGAATTTTTGGCGATTTTTTTTGGAAAATATGACGGAATAACTTAAAATGTAAATGATAACAACCCAATCTAGCTTTTTTTTTTAAATTAATGATTAAATACAAATTAGTTATGCCCATTATTAAAAACATAAAACTAAACCTCTCACCGTTTTCTCTCTGCAAAATCGTCGCTCAAACACCGATTCCGCAAAAGTTCAAGCCTTCATCTCCTTTGTTTCGTTGACTAGTGTGTGGTGGCTTCTTTAGCACCGGCATCGGTCCCCTCTCTCTCTCTCTCTTTTGTTTTTTCTTTATCTAAGTTTGTTTCTTTTTTATTTAGTTTGAATTTTCTGTGTCTTGTCCGGTTTCGGGTCTTTGGTTGTGGGTCTGCGTCTTCGATCTGGTTCAGCGAAGAAGTATAGGCGATAGATCTTGTTTTGTCGCTTTGTCTTTGTAGATCTGGACTTTTGTTGTTGAAAGGAAGGATTACGTTTTCTCTCTTCACGGAGTTTTCGACGTAGAGGTTATGACGACCTTTCTTTGGCGTCATCTTGGAATCGTTAGACGTCATATGGGATTTTATCAAACTCCCTTTTGCGCTTCTATAAATTCCAGATCTTATCGGTAAAGTCGGGTTTTGGTGAAGGTTGTGTCGGTTTTGATCAAGTTTTTAAGATGTGGCTCGTCTTGTCAACGGTGCCCTCTCCTCGTTGTGATTTCACAGATTCGAAGTGGTTTGTTGATTACGAATAAGGATTCAATGTTTGATCAGGCTATGCAATTTTCACCGATTTCTAATTTTTTCCGTTTTTAGAATTAAGGTCTCTTTGGTGTTGGTTCATATGGGTAACCGAATTGTCTCTCAAGGGTAGATTTCTTTTCCGGTGATGCCTCACCTAGCAATCATCTGCCGGCTTTCCAAATCAGTTGTATGTAGTTGAAGATTTTTTTTTTTTTTGCTCAGAATGTAAATATTTCATTAAAATGAAAAATGTTTAGGTTTACAAAATGCATTATAAACCTAGATTTAAGGTCCCATGGCAAAAAAGATAAAAACATGGAACCAAATAACATTAAGGTTTTCAGTTCGTCATACTCGACACTAGCACTCATGCTAATGGACATCGACGAAGTGATGACGATGATTATTGTTCCTCTCCAAAACCGCAAGCCGAGATGGAGGAGCATCAAACCGACGGAATGGAAGAGCCAAGACCCGATGCGCTAGAAGCCTTTCCGTGGAAGTTCATAAATGAGTCGTCAACGGTAATGAACCCAAGCCCGCATTCACAACCTCCTCTTGCGGCTTGTGAGATCGACCCGAGCCACAAAACCATGAGCTGAAACAAATAAAAAACTACCCTGACCAAATAAGAGAACCAATGCCAGCGAAAGATAATTTGAGCTCTTGTATCAAGTTATTTTGCAGGTGTTCAGATGATACAAAGATGAGAGAATCACAATTGATGTATTTTGTATATCTCTTATTTTTTGTATTCATCATTCGTCTTCAAATACTGTGTACAAATATTTACAGATTAATAGAATGTCAGATGTTAAAAAAAAAATACAAATTAGTTAAAATATGTTATTGCTAGCAAAATTAGTTAAATAAATGAATATATATTAACTTGTACATTTGATAATTAAAGATCTTATCAAACAAAAAAATAAAAACATAATTTAACAAGAAAACTTCTAAGTCATAGAAAAAGTGAAGATAAATTTATCTTACAAATCGAATAAATTAATTTAAATTTTTGTTTTTATCAAAATCTAAGCTATGTTTTTCAAAAATAAAAAATCTTCAAGTTTTCTTAATATTATATTTGTACAAACAATATTCGAAAAAATGAATCAGACAAAACCAAAAAATTTAAACTTAGATCAAAATGCATAAATACAACCTACGTTCTTAAATTAAGAAAACTTCACAAATGATCTGAAAGTCTTTACGATTACAAGAATTAAAAAAAAAAAAACTCGAACAAAAAGTTATTTAATTATCTAAAATTATTTGTAGTTACTTAAATTACCAAAAGACGATATGGTTTTTACTATTTTTGATAGTGGATTTAAATATCTTAATTATATATACCATATTCGTATTATCTCTGATCTATATTTAAAAAAAATGTTTAAGATATAATTTTTTTATTATAAATATATTTACGTGATTTCCATATCCGTTTTTATCTGATTTTTTTATCCAAAATAAATATATTTATATCTGGTGTTTGAAAAATTGTTAATTCAGCTAAACCTTACCATATTTTTTGCTAAATTTTAAGATTTTTTTAAAAAATGTTATCAATTACAACCATAATGTGATGATAGC